AATTAAGGCATAGTATAACGGTGTAATTCGACTTCCTAACCTCAAAAGGACGCTCTCCATTAACAACATGTACTCGTACAGTATGGCGTCCCTAGTTTCCAACGCGCAACACTCGTTCTTTACCGCACTAAACTTTCGGGACTCTACCATTATACTACAAGGTATGTTATATATGTATGAACCAACAGAGGGCCTCCTATATGAATCTATATTCATAACAATTATATTTATCTGCAGTTGTTGTAATTTAAGGTTATATAGAAGATACATTATTTATTAATCAATTTAATTGTTTGTTTGTTTTTTTTTTCAACAAGAGTTCAATACAAAATTAACAAGCATCAATAATCGCTTTCCCACCAATCAACAAACACATAAGATATTAAACGTATTATCATTCCAGCATTATTTGCAGGGACCAGATAAATATTGTAGAAATAATGTCAATGTTTCTAAATAACCAGTAAATTAGCAAAACACTCTTTGTTGGAGTGTCTAATAGTGAGGAGCTAAGCTGAGAGAGCAGCTTAGCTCAGTCGGGTAAACTGGTCGTAGCCACTGTGTGTGAGCTGAACCGTGGAGATCTCTAGGTCCACGGCACGATTCCTATTTCTGCTCCCCTTGTGTTTCAGCTAGAGGGATGAGACGATTAAGGCATTGGTCCCGTGTGCATTATGGCCTATTTGCACGCTAAAGAACGCAGTACACTCTTCGGAAAAAAGTAGGGGATTGTCTCATGGTGCACTGCCCAATCACCACCAGAAGGACCCCATTGGGAATAAGTCTTCTTCGGACTTTCGTGGGTTACCCTTGGTGTGTTTACATCGAATAAATCCATCTATCCATCCAAAAAGCTTTCTTTTATTTATATTTTATAATGCCCTCTACAATGTTTAGTCATTGTGAAACATTCAACGAAAAGCCGGCGAACTAACAAAATATGAATATTTGCTTCCGAGGAGCATCCGCATGTGAAGTATTTTTTACTATTTGTGGATATTTTCTTCGATTTAACCGTAATTATATATTTCTATAGGATACATTATACACCGAAAATGAATCTGTTGACAAAGAGCCAATTTGCCTATTTTTCAACGAAACACAACTGTAAGATTTCTTTTGTTTGCTTCAATTTATAAGAAATCACTTTAATTTCATTAAAACTTAAAACACATGACTATAATTGTTGTAAATGAGGAGTATATAAGTAAATACATATATTGATTGTCATACGATTTTTTGATTCAATAGGATTTGGAGTGATGAAGGCGTGACAACCACTTACTATTCTCAGGAAAAAGTATCTTGCTATTCTGACCATATTACCAGTTTCAGCGTAATGATGAAGGTTACTAAGGCAGAAGTATGTGTTCGTTTATGCATTTCATCTCATGCTTTCTCTTACGTAAACACAGTACCTTACACACATGTCGTACACACATACAAACATACTAACTAAGCCTATCAAATAACTTTTTTCTAAGCAACACTCCTATACATAAGCTTTACATACGACGCACCCTACTAGTCATCTGTTAATTTTTTGCTCTCCGTTCCGCACATCCAAACTAATGGCCATAAATCTTTTTCCTTTGCCGCACCTACACTTTGGAATTCACTCCCTGCAAACATTAAAAACTGTTCTTCTGTTCTTTCATTTAAAAAGTTACTCAAAACTCACCTTTTCCTTCATTAACGTGCAAAGCGCCTTTGATAATGTACCTCGGTCGTTTAATTGACGCTTTATACATTCTTATATTATTATTATTATTATTATTATTATTATTATTATTATTATTATTATTATTATTATTTATTATATGCATACATACAGTGCATATGTCTAGATATACATACAAAAATATCCAGTGTCTTTCGAACAGCCTGAAGAACTCAAACCACTGAAATTCATTTTTTTTTTTCAATTGTTTTTTATTGCTTTCAACATACATTACAAAACTCATAACAACATAATATAATATAATGTAATATTACAATTAAAAATCTCATCTTTCTAGTAAAAAAATTGCCATTACAAAATCCATAGCCAAAAATATAATATAAAATAAAATAAAATTACAAACAGAATGTATCATCTTTCTAATATAAAAAATCAATCAGTAAAAGTGTTCTTTTAAGGCTTCTCTAAACAACTGAAACTAATGCACTACTATTTGTAATAATGAACAACTGTCATTGCATTTTCTTCCTATATTACTTCCTTTTCCTACATTTTTTTGTCACAGGAAGTTACCACATTTTTGTTTTATTGTAAATTTTTCCCCATTGCATATCATACTTTGTACTATTTAAACTAAATCTTCCATTTGGAGCATCAGACAAGTCCTACGGAAGATTTTGTAACACAAGGGCGAGGAAAAGGAAAAAGAGAGAGTAAAAAACTACTTGTTCCTGAAACTTAATAATGTACAGTATATTTTTCCTCTCCTCCTTTCCCTCTCATATTCTTTCCTCTTATTCCCCTATTTTCTTCATTAGCCACAGAATATTGCTCCATTTTTTCTATTCAATCGTGAAGCGAAATGTCCCTCAATTGATATAGGGCCTAAAAGAACTTTATACTTACATTCTTTTACTTGGAACATCTGACCATTTCTACTGGAGATTTTGTAGCAACATGACGAGAGAAGAACAGAGAGAGAAAAAGAGAAAAAAAAATATCTTATTTTATTTCCTTTTTAGTTTTAATTATTTTTTATTATTCCATTACAGGCTGATTAACTGCTTGTTCTTGTAACCCAGCAGTGTATATTGATTTTTTTTTCTTTCCATTGTCTATATAAATAGCTCTATACTTTAAAATCTATTTTTTTCTTTTTCATTTTTTTTCTTTTTTCCTTTTCATTTATTTTTTATTTATAAAATGTTCCACTACATTGTTTCTTAATATCGGCTCAAGCCCGTCCGTAGTGCTGACGTGGAGTACATGCGTGTCGTTTTGTTTACAGTAACATTTCCTACCGATTTTATTTCTGTCCTACTTTTCGAATTCTTAGGCGATCGGCTTCAACCTTAACCTGAACATAAACAGAATAAATTTGCCGAACAAAAAAAATATGTTATGCTAATAATATATTAGACATCTGTTTTTAAACGAAACAGGTTTAAAGAGAACACACTGTAGCAAAAGACTCTTTGGCTGTACCTCTAAATCCAAGCCTGGTGGTTATTATTTAATGTTTAATAATCATATGATATTCATTGGTTTCAATTACACATACAGGACAACAAAGCTTTGAGCCTGATGTCGAAAGTGTGCGTCTCTCTCTCACTCATCGCTTTGGTTGTTTCTCTCATTGTTTACTGCTTATTTCCGTAAGTTATTTAAATTCCTTTTTTTAAAAAGTAATTTTAAGTGTTGATCTCATAGTTTAACACATCGAGGGTACACCTACTATGACAACTAAACACCACATTGTAGTAAACAGCATATAAATTTATTTGTCAAACAAGTATTGGTTAAAAGCAAAGTGTCTCTGGCAGGACTTGAGCCTGAAGCCTCTCGCTGCAATGGCGCGAATGTCTTACATTAGACCACAGAGACATACGCGTGCATGTAAAACGCAGACATCTTCTCTCATACAGCCGGCTTGAAGCGCACACATACTGGGGTCATGTTTAAGCATAGAGAAAATCTCTATGGTTTAAGTGAGAACTGGCTTGTACATTGTCGTAGCTTGGAAAAATAAATAGTACAAGTTGAGGTATAAATATTTGTAGCAAAATATACATATGCATATTTACTTGTTTACCTTTAAATAGGGAACTATGGAAATCACTCCGCGTTTCAATCCACAAAAACTTGGTTGTTAACATGATTTCGATGCAATCACTCTTTCTTTTTGGGATCGACAAGACAGGCAACAAGGTAAGTAGGCCTATTACTGAAATGCAAAGATTATATCAGAATTTATTATCAGATTCAAACTATTCTTTATTTATAATAGTTTGAATTAATTCCCTCAGCAAAACTTCTCAATAATAAAACTAGCATATATACGAATATGAAACATTAAATTATACCGTAATAAATGTATTACTATTACATTATTATAAAAGTTTTTAATACTTATATATCGCTATTGGCAATATTTGGTCCATGTACGTTATTATAGTTCCTTCGATTCGTTCCTTCGATTCTTTGTTCGATTGCTGTTCGTGTGTCCGTTTCTCCATCCATCCACCCGCCCACACCATCCACCTAGAGGACAAGTGCCGTAAGATCATTAAATTATCCGATTACATGTACGTGTATCTAACATACGTACATTCTACATTATCCATCGAATCGTTTAAATAGTCATTTACCTTTCAGATCATATGTGCACTCGTTAGCGTTCTTCTTCACTTCACTGCGCTGAATACATTCACCTGGATGTTTGGTGAGGCGGTATACTTGCTTTTCAAAGTTTCCACATCAGCCCCCAACCAACACAACCGACTTCGAAATTACATGGCAGTGTGCTATGGTGTTCCCCTTATCATCGTTGTCATTTCTTCGGCTGGATTCACATCCGAATACAATGATGGTAACAGGTAGGTTACTGATTAATTTATAATGCTGGAAACCCAGGGGTGGTGCCAGCGGGGAGCAGGCTCCGTCGAGGAGAGCTGCACCCAACCCCTTCGTTTGGGAGGGAGAAAAACAATTTCCTATATAGAAAAAAATTATATGTATTTTTTACATGTTAGTGGACTCTACGATTAAATAAGGATTGGAAAACCTAAACTGTCACAGTTTTCGGGGTTTCGCCCCCGAAATCTACTTCGCTGTCGTTGAACAACCCCCCACCCCCCAAAACCGGTGACATTGGACAGTCCGTCTGGTAACTCCTGGCACCATCCATGGCGATGTTGTATTGTTAAAATGTATGCATTGGCGCGTCAGAGAGCCCAAAAGGCTTCCCACACGAAATAGCAAACGGATTTTGTAATTTCAAAGGATGACAAAGATGACATTTCTATAGATGGGAATATTGGCATATCTTCTTTATCTTAATTATTTATAAAAAGTAACAACAACGATTTATTCTAACATTTTTTTTACCTTTTCCAGTTGTTGGCTTGGTCAAGAAAGAGGAATGATATGGGCATTTGTAGCACCAGCATTATGCATTGCTATGGTAAAGAATATTTTATGTGTACAATTTCGTGTTGGAGATCAACATAGAATGTGATCAATGTTGCTATTGGCAATCCGGTCCACCGCCTCAAAACATGTTTAATTGTCTTGCTTTGTGTATTGCTTTTTCAAATATTTTATTTTATAACAAGTGACGAAATGAAATGAAGCGTAAATATTGTTAGATACTTCTAAAAATTGTATTTCTTGTAATTTTTAACCAATACATTTATTTATTAATATATTTATTCTTATAAATGCAATTTTTATGTAACAATGTGTATACTCCACCTTCTCTTCTTAATGACGAATATATTTGCCTTTATGTTAATACTGTACACATTTTTTATTGATTTTTCTCAAGGGTAACACTGGAATAATGTGCATTGTTGTGAGAATAATCTACAAACGAGCAGGTAATATGGTAGGAAAACCAGCGGCAGCAAGGAACAAGTTTAAGCAATTGAGGTGATTAGGCCTATATATATATATACATACATACATATATATATCTTTTATTAATATCTCTGATCACATAGCTAGAAGTTTCACTTCTCTATTTTTGAAAGGTTTTTGTGAATAAATTTAATTTGAATAAGTTCAAACGTATTTATACATGCTATGATACTGCCTTGAGTAACCGTTTTTGTTTTCACACTATAATTTTTGATTGAAAATTCGAAGAACAAAATTGCTATTCCAATATCTATTATAATACTGGGTGGTTGATTGGTTACACGATCACATTAGCCTCATATCCGTAGTCAGCTATCTCAAACTCTGATTTTGTTCTACAGAAAAGCTACTCGTGGTACATTAATGCTGCTACCAATAATGGGTAGCGCGTGGATCATTGGACCGTTTGCTGTCAGTTCGGATACTGAATTCCTTGATTACGTATTCAACTTGTTAAACGGCTCGCAGGGGATCTTTATATTCCTTATCTACTGCGTCTTTGATAATGAGGTAAAATTGACTTTATTTCGTTGTTTTCAATTATTTTTAAGTTAGGCGATATTTACAAGTGGAATGTGTGTCATTAAAATGAGTAGGCCTAACTGTAATAGCATCAGCCATTGTGACTATGCCTTTTTTGACATTATTTATTTTTATTATTAATTATTCAGAAAAAAAAAGATGCAATACAAATCAATACAATACAATTACGAAGAATCTTAATCTTATGTCCACACTCAAATTTTGTGTTATGTTCCCATAATTATGAGCATATTACTTGATAACATAAAAGTTGATAGTGTGGACAAAACATTAGTAGACACAACTGCCCGGAAGACACGCCTAAAGCTTGGTTTTCATACAATCGCTACATACGCTATCGCTGACAGCTTTCGGTGACGCTGATTGGTCGATGAAATCAGGGAGTCTTCTCGATTGCGTCTGGCACAGCTGCTACGCAGTACTGTACAACGTTTGCACTGAAAACACCGTACCGACAGTGTAGCGATTTTATAGAAAACAGGCTTAAGCCATTGTCACAAGATAGGCGTGTACAGTACATTCATGACACAGACAAGGCACAAAAGACAATTTATTATTGATATTAGTGTTTAAAACCTGCATTAAATAGATTATTCCTACAAAATCTACGTTCAGTATTATGTTACATCCTCATTCTCCTCAACAATTGACATTCGTCGTTTCCTTAATTAGTCCTAAAAAAGTTCAATGCCATATTATAGGCCTACACCACTTGTGTTAAATTTGGAATGACATTTTTTCGATAACCTGGCAACAACCATGTTGAGGGGCAACATTTAACTAACCAATGATTACTGTTTGTATGTGGTATCTGTTGTCTGCTCTGGTGTCCCCAAAATAAAAAGTTGCGAGACTTCAGAGGTTGATGACGTTCTTTCAAAATACATCCGATGAAATGGTCTATATCTCTATATGTTAATTAATTGTTTATTTAAACTACAGAGATTTGTATGTATTATGCATTTTTTCCTCATAATTTAAGGTCGAAAATTTGATTTCATTTTTACAGACAAATGAGTGTTTTAAAAAACGATTCAAGAAAATCGAAGTAACCACAGGGACGGAAATGACGCAAAACCAGTGAATATAATACGTAACTTTTTGGATTGGTATTCAGTATACTGAAATTGTAGTAGTCAAAGCAAAAGTAATGTGCACTATATTTTTAGATGTGAATACTGTGTCTAAATAAAATTGTATGTGGTAATAATAATATTTCCAAAATATCAAAAACACATTTTATTTGTGTCACATTCGAGATCCAAGTTATTGAAAATAGGAAGAGGGTGTATCTTACCGTCTACTCCATACGACACTAGTGCTATGTTATCATTATTGAGATGTTATTGAGATAACTTATGTGTTTAAAATTTGTATTTTGAATAGATTACCACAGTCGTGTCTCTGTTGTCAACAGACGTTGGTTAACGTTCATTACGCCTGAATTACTTCATAGGCTTTCTGGAATAGGCATTTTTGGAAATTTAATATTTTACCATCAAAATGTACTAAAAACACAACAGCTCGCATTGTATTAGTTATCAAACACACATTTAATCGTCAATTAAAATTTACAAAGAAAAAGTAAGATACAACATCTTAATAATTACTTTTGAAATTGGGATCAAATTGGGAACGCTTTTTGCACTGATAGCAAAAAAGTAGTATCACACGGTATCGTGACGTAACACTGTAGTAACGGATGATTAGCGTACTTAGCAATGCCAACTTTATTTGTTTTTGATAAGAAATCAATGATTGCTTCTAACTTCACAGTTTTTCCTCATGCTGCTACACCCAACAAACAACTTTACACTATGGATCACTTTACATTACAAGTGAGGAAAACAGCATATATATAATTTTGAACCAAGATGTAGAAATTAAAACAAATAAGCATGATTGTAGTCAAGAAAAATAGTACAGTTTGGTATAAGTGTAAACACTCTTTATATATTAAATAGACTGTACGTTAACATTAGTAAATGGTTGTTAATTATTAAAGGAAAGGAAGGAATGCAATGTAATTATCGGTGGTATTCACCATAGAAAAATAATTGAAAAGAGCTATTACACTAAAAGGGGTTTAAATATAAAAGATATCTTTTGGTATAAATATTCATTTTGGGTACCGTGAAATAATATTATCATTAGTAGATATAACGCTTCACAAGTTGACCTAATGTTTGTAGATGAAGATAATTGTTCATTGTTGTGTTGTATATTGGTCGCCAGTACGCATTTCATATTGTAGTTACTGTATTTAATTAGGCCAAATATTTACAATTGAAAGTCTCAACAGGCTTTACTAGGAATTAAAATCTTCATCTTATCGAGTCTACACGTAGAGCAATGTCGAGTAGGTCTAAAAATTCGACATTACGATTCTCGCGTATAGTGGTGAAAGGATTAGTAGGAACAGGGCCGCGAATTACGTTGCTCCATATTACGTTGGATCATGCGTATCAAATCATCACATTCACTATTATGTAACATAAACTATTTAGGCCTACTTACTGTTGTCTCTCATTTACGTTGAGGAGGTTCTGAGGACAGGACGAAATATTTGTGCCAAATAAAATAATGTTCCTATATTACGTCAACTGTGTATGATTTTTTTTATCGTATCAATTTCTATATTATATATATATATATATATAAATATATATACATATATGCGTGTGTGTGCGAATAAAATTACGAATATAGAACATAATATTAAATCGCGTAGCATAGCTCTCTGCGAATGTTGATTCAACCATGAAGCCCCCGTAGTCTAATGGTTATGATGCTCGCCTTGACAGCGATAGGTTGCAGAGTCCCGCCAGAGCCGTTTTATTACACAATTTCTTTATTCAG